ACACACACACACACACACACACACACACACACACACACACACACACACTTTATCATTTGCTCTGATAAGATAAGCCAGCCTGCTGACATCAACTCTAGAGGGCACTGCTCTGCCATACTCCTTCCTTGCCAGACATAATGGGTCAACTGGCAAGCATCTCAGAGACAAATAGAATCCTGCAGGAGGAAGTGAAGGGGAGAGAAAATTTACCCCAAATCATATAGACCACCTCCCCAAACAGCAAGATAAGGTAGTTTCGCAGCCAAGAGGATTTTCAGATTCTCTTGAATCAAGTGTGACTTGGGTGTGGATTAGGGGGAAGAGAAGCAGAGAATACCTCTTCCAAAATATCATTTTATAAAACATACATTATCTGATCATTCTGGCAAGTCTGTTCATCTTCAAAGAGACACATCCTCAAGATGCCTTCTGGAAACCTTTGCTCGCGCATGTCTCAGACATAAACAATGCATCTTGTTCAGACACTGAGCACTTGGTGCCATGATAAGAAGACTTTCAAAAATTGGAGGAGAGAGCATTGATCTATGAGCTCCAATGAAGTTCTATTTGAACGCAATATTTCCATGTTTCCATGATAAGAAGAATTAAAAATAGTGTGAGGAGAGATATCATTTTCAAACCCTACTGCCTCTAGCTCAAGATTTTCATGGCAGGGAGGGAGATTTTTTTTCCATAGGAGCCAATGTCTCCAGTAGGGTAGACTTGCAAAATGATTCCCCCAATCACTTTCTCTGAGTTGATTATTGATTTTTCCTGTGCCCTGTCAGCCTCAGTCATCATTGACATGCCCTTGTGTTCCACTAAAATGTTGTAAGCAAAAAAGGGGGATAAAAAGCTTACTCTAGCTGTTAAAAGGATTTGATGGAAATCTCTGTATTAAGAAGGTGAAGAAACAGACAAGGGGGTGGGTTCTTTCCTTCAAGCAGCCGCTTCCCATCCCACCCATGAATTTCACGGGACCACACCTCAACTTGGGTCCTCTCTTTTTTCACTAGTAAAGTTAGTACTATTTTAGCTACACATATTAAAGTGCATTAGCCTTTAGGAAGAGTCCTCGCCCTGAAAGAAAGTTGTTAATACACTGAGATTATTAATTCACAACAAATGGCAGATGATAACCCTTGCTGAGTAAATTTCTATCTGTAGGCTCAGTTCATGGAATAAACTCACTCTCCAACTATTCTCAACTTATTTAACTTATCCAGATTTAACTTATTCTTTGTGATTAACTAAAAAATCTTTATGATTTGGAGTGCATTTGACTGGTGGGGGGGGGAGACCTTTCTTAAAATCAATTGGCACTAGATGTGGAAGGAGTGCCCATGTTGGGCCTTGGCTGAACATCATTGAAACCCTTTTTCCAGACAACCTAGAAAATATAGAGAAAAGCTCTGGCTATCCCTTCAGTAGAATGGCAGAATCTATTTGAACTCACCATCAATAATTAAATAGGCTTCGCTAAGCTAAGGTTGGGTCAGCCAATAGTGCTCTTTGAGCAAGAGGCTAAGTGGAGAATTTTGCATTCCTTTTTTCAGTAGAGTATTAATGCACTGTCATTGCAATCACCAGATAAGCTGTTGATGCCAATATATTTTTGCTGAAATGCAATAAGCTAATCAATAAGTGATGTAAGCTGACAATGGGAGGTCAAAAGTATATTTTGGTATGATGAGGGTGGGAGAGGTGGGACAGGGGAGGGAGGTTAATAAGAGAAAGTGGTTAGAGTTCAAAATGCATTGTAAATTCCTGTGTACTGGAAAAGTCAAAGAAAATGTGTGTTTCTCTGAATTGTGTCTCTCTCTACATGTATAAATGAACAGATGCAGATAGAGCTCAAAAACATGGCATGGATGAATTTATCTCTTCCAATCCCTGTAACTTTGACCACGCTTCCCTCTTTGAGATGGTGCAGCGCCTAACTTTGGACCACAGACTAAATGATTCCTATTCTTGCCTGGCAAGTATATTCTTTGGTCTACAGAGGTTTAAACATGAGTGTCCTGAAAGAGAACTTTTTTTTTGGTGGCCACCGTCACCTTTTCTAGAAAACCTAGTGAAAATAGAGGAGCTGTCCTAGACATCACTGTGCTCTGGGGGCTAGGAGCTAAGTTGTAACTTGTGTTCTCTCTGAAGTACAGGGTAATACACACACTTACAATCAGTTGATAAGATGTGGCTGCTGAAATACTTTGCCTAATGTGATAAATTGATTGAGAGGCAACCTACTATTCTTATTTCAGGAGTATTTTCAAAAGATAAATCGATCTTTGGTTTACTGACCTGAGATCATACTTCTTTGACAGAAGGAAAGAAAACTTTGCAGGGACAGGCTATTGACAGGAACAAACCCAATCTCCTATGCCTCTTTCTTAACCAGGCTCTTTTCATAAGACAGACAGTAGGACTCCTAAGAAGATAAAGTTTCTCACTGGTTTATGGTGAATTTAATAACTACCTTAAAGACCTGAAATTTAATTCCCTCCTTAAAGAAAATCCTAGAGTCACCTGATAAATTAGCATATTCCCCCAAACTATGGCTTCTATAAAAAATTAAAATGTCAAGAAAAAATCCTCAGGGCAGAGGACCTCAGGTGAACTGAATAAATTTGTTGAGGATATCTAGACAATGTCTTAGCTTTTCTATATAACCCTAAATGTCTGAAGTGCTATGTGGCCAGTGGCAGGATCAAAATTTCCAAAGGCATTTTGTTAGAAACTAGGTAGCCATTATGTATGTCCTGAATGTCTTTGGAAGATGTAATTTGGCATCCTGAGTCCCTCTTTTCCCTGTGCATTATGATTGACTTAATAAGCCTTGACAAGGCAAGATTTATGTGATTTTACAGAACTTTACCACTTTTCCTAAAAGGTAGACATTACCAGTCCCATTTTATAGATAGGGGAAATAAGCCAGGGAGGGGAAAACACAGTGGACACTTATTTCTTGCCCCTCACCTCACTTTCAAACCCTATGGCACAGAAAAGAAAAAAAAAATTGCATGATTTCAAACCACTGCCTTTTCTAAGAGACACTAAAATCCTCCAGAATTAGGTGTGACTTGTTTTTGAAATCCTTTTTATTTAGGTCTAGGGAACACAAATATTAAGTCTACAAGAAAAATAGCTTAGACAATAAAAGAAAAGGGAAGATTTGATGCCTTACAATAGGTTTGGCCACTTCACATAAAGGAGCCACTGGTTATTTTAAACTTTAAATCATTTTTTTCATAAGATTTGAACTCTTTCAACCTAAAAGGGATCTTTTTCTTTGTTTTTTTTAAAGCTTATTTTGTATATCAAAGTCATTTGCCCCAGATTTACTTAACAAGATTATGTGATAATCATTATAAATCACACTAGTACATCATATAGCTGAGCTAATTCACGAGCTTTCGCGGCTAACTTCTGTTCTCTGAAGACTGATTTTTTTCTCCCATATTTCTTTTCTAAACAGCTGGACTCATGCAAACACAAATGCATCTTGACCTAGTTATCTTGTTTGCTCATTTTCTTTTGTCCTGAAATTTCTCATAGAGAAAGGCTAAAACATCATCTAAAAGTTAATTGGAACAGGAAATATGAAATCCCGGGTCCTTTTCTTTATTTGCATTTTTTTCTAAAAAGTGACAATTAAAAAACAGAGTATACAATGAAAAAGCATATTTCCCCACCTGAGTACCTGGGTCTATGAATTTTCAAGAACAAAGTTTCAGGCAGTCATAAAAATGAAAAGAATCTCATCTCCTTTCCTCTATATATTCCTTCCCTCATTATTATAATCTTTTCTTCCGTTGGTTTTGGAGTCCGACCAGCAGGGCTCCATAAATTTTTCTGTGTCTTCGACTGAGATCCTAATTGATATTTCTTCAACTCTTTTCAAAGCAGTTATTTTGGCATCTACAAAAGACTTGGTGTCATCTGAGTCGTAGAAAATATATTTTAATCTTTCACAGCAGTGTTGTTTCTAAGATTTAGCATTTGGGGTAGCAGATGGGGTGGCAAGGAAGTTGTCTATAGGGGCAGTGCTTTGCCTCAACCACTCTCCCGCCCGTTGCAATAACTTATAATTTCAAAAAGGAAAGATGCTCTCATTTGATACCTTAGAGAGCTCCATTTCACCAATTGATTAGTACCCAGGTCCCTAATAAGAAATAATAGCACTGTACATCAGGGTTGTCTACTAAGCTCCAGTTGCCCTCCATGTATTCCCAAGTAGCTGTATTTTCTTTGCTGGACAGTGTCCCTTTTTTCATTAAAAAAAAAAAAGCAAGGAAATATTCCAAAGATGACCCCAAGAAGAAACTAGAGTTTAAAACAAAACAAAACAAGCAAAAACAACAACGAAATCAAACCTTTTTTTTTCCTTCATGCTGTCAAATAACCATCTAAAATGATTTAAATCAATTTACAAACTAATTCATGGTTCAGAAATGGGGAGCCTGTCACCCCACCCATTTGCTACAGTAGAGTTGGAGATTGGGTATGTTTCTTTTTTCTGTGTAGAGTTTGGATTGGTCAAAAGCCAAATGAGAACCCAATAATTGCCAAAAAAATTTTAAAATTAAAAATACACAAAACAAGGCAAAAGCAGCTCATCCAGATTCAATTAAGTCTATTGAAGAAATGCATTAAAAACTGCTTATGCAACAATATTTGCATATTTGTGGCATTACCTTTATTTTAAAATAAAAGGATCTCTTTCCAAAGTGTTATGATAGCTATTGGCATACAAGTAGACTATAATTCACATTTCCTAGCACTTGAAAATATATTTGCTTTTAACATTAGTCCAAACAACTTTTTCCCCAACAGTCATACTATATTGAGTGAGAAAGACAATATTATTGGGGTCTAGATTAAAGAAAAGCCCACTTCTACTCTGAGTCTCCCAATGTGTTATTAAGTCCTAGAACAGGAAATTAGGGCACTGTATCACCACCCCTCCATCCCGGCTCCTTTTGCCATTCCCTCCCCACCAACACCACCCAGTTCAAATCACTCTCAGGAAAACAACCTGTATTTAAAAGAAAGTCTCTCCTTTATTCCTTAAACAGGGCTGGTTCAGTCCTGGCCAGGTATTTGTGCTAGATGAGTACTGTGCACGAAATGGAGTCAGAGGCTGTCACAGACATCTCTGCTACCTCAGTGATCTCCTTGAACGAGCTGAAAATGGAGCCATGATCGACCCCACGCTGCTTCACTACAGCTTTGCCTTCTGTGCATCCCACGTTCATGGGAACAGGTAAGAAGATGCTCGTGTGGGCACTGGGTCAATGGTCCACAGTGATGGCTTGTAGCCGTCCTTCATGCCCTGAAAATATCCCAGAATCACGTACTTGATTAGAATCATTTGGTCATGTCAGAAATGGCTAAAGAAATAAACAATCAGCTCTCAATTATTCACACTGTTGCTCTGGCAAAGTCATGCCTGGATGATACAAAGCAATCCTCAATAGGAAAAGCATCTACATTTGGATTTAGAATTCAAAATATTTTTTCACCTGCATTAGTTTTATTTTTAATTTTGATTTTGCTCAAGTTTGTATAGTGGTGAGACTACAATTCCCTTAGAGCTCCTCTGATTGATGATAACAAGGGGAGGTGGGTACTAATTAATCTACATGTGGGCAGACAAAAGTCTGCAATTGTCATCCAACAGAGCCCTGCCTTTCATTTTCATCTTTAGTGTTGCACACTCAGTGTCTGGTGCCCTCCATATATGACAACACACCTCTAACTTTATTGGTCCCTATAAGATGCATTCTAGACTATATTCCATAATGGGTAGGCTATATGAACTTGGGCTCCATGAAATTCTGACATTTGGCACTGAAGGACAATATCAAATGTTTATTGGAATGGTTAACTATAAAAAAGTTATCTATTCTCATTGTTGCAGTGTTCCAGCCTTTTGTTTGGATAAGAGAGAGTCACACTGGCCCTAGTTCCCAAAGGGCATCTATGAAAAGTTCCACTTTATTTTTTTTTTTATAAATATATGCACTCCGATGACTATCTGTTACAGCCTCTTGGACTGAAATCTTTTTTTTTAAAGAAGTTGCATTATATACTCTGGGTTGTCACACTGTATTCTACATATGTTACTGAATAAGAAAGTGTTATAAAATAATGAAGTGTTTTTGTAAACTCCCTGGTAAACATCATCATGAATTATGATACACATTGTCTGGATTTCATATTGTAACACTGCCACTTGATTCACAGTTAGGTTTATACATCTTGTCATGGAAACAGTTTGGGATCTCTTATTTTCTTTTCAGTTCTGATTTTTCCTTATGCAAGTTTACATCTTTTTTTCTTATTATTTTCATTTGAATGTATTTGTTTGCATTTTTGTTTTCATGCTTTCTTTTTGTTCTTTCTCCTTTTACATGTGTTTCTTATTTTGTTTTTTTTTTCTTCTGTGTCTGGCCACATGCTGCATGTCGTCCCTTAAACCACCCCTTCCTCAAAGTCAACAAACGCATGGGTTACTTAGTGGGTTGTTTCCAAGTGCAGACAATGAGGGGAGCAAAAGTCCCTCCCCTCTGGAAGCAGATGCCAGAAGGGATTCCAAAAAGGAGTCTAAAAAACGAAAAGATCCTAAACCCCAGGTGAATCCTGACCCTAAAAGGTAAGGAGGAGCTGGGTGGTGACTTGTGCTTGAAGCATGTGGGCTATTCTTCCAACTCTTTCTGTTGCTGATGTTACAGTTTCTTTGAAATCATTCTATTAAGCTTTCTGAAGATGAAATGTTGTTTCAATCCTAGTGATGAACAATAATTCTATAGGATGGCAATGAATCGTAATTAGAGTTTGGGGGGGACCATTTTAGAATTGTTTATATTTTAAAAACTAATCAAGCAATATGGAGACAGAATTGTGAGTTAGATATTTTCTTTCAGAGACATCACGTTTCCTGGTACTTTCAAAGTTATTGACAAAGAGCAACTTATCCTTGATTGTTCTGAAACCAGGGGCAAAAAAAGGAGATAAGCTTGCTTCAGAGAGACCTATATGCTTATGGCACCCACATCAAATATGGAGCATAGCCACTCTTGTTTTCATCCTATTCCTGAGGTATTTGGAAGGGACAGAGAGGAAAAAATTCCATATTCTATTCAAAAATGAACTTGTAATGAAAAGTACAAAATAAAGACGGATGGTAAATAAATAAACTGGTTTTCTCAACTGTAAAATGAGGTGGTAGCAGGATGGAGGTGTGGAATAAGACAACCTCTAAGATTCCTTTTAGATCTAAACTCTAAAGAGATTTCTATGAATTTTAAGGAAGCTCCATTTTTAATGAATATCATGGATGTGGCATTTCTTGGTGTGGTGAGATTTTTTTTTCCCCATCAAAACTAGGTCTGTTGGTTGTTGGTGCCATCACGTCTCAAAAGTAGAACTTAATCAGAGACCTTTTGATCATTATGAAGGAAATGTCTGACCCTGAAACAAAAGAATTTTATGTCCAATAGCAAAGATATATAAAACACATAAGCTGCTTGGCATTAATAAGTTACTGAACACACATTTACCCATTTTCATACTCAGGACACGCTTGCTTTTTATTTTTAGCTTGATTCTATTCATTCGATTTTTTTCTCAGTACTGGGAGTTACACAATTTATTCTTAGGGAAGAAAAGCCCCAAAATCCAGGCATCCAGCCTCCTCCAGAATGAGGTTGGCTGTCAATCAACCAGAAATGAAGGTCAAATCAAAACATAATTCTGTGTGGCTATCCATCTCCCATACCCACAACAGACAGTGATGGAGCTGAGGTGGATTGTCTGTTTATATTTTGTTTCTGTAAGGTCAGACAATGAGACAACAGTAGCTCGGAGTCAGTAAGAAAGTGCAGAGAGAATGTGATTCAGATGTTTCAGAACCCTGAAGGTTAGCACTGACAGAATGACAAGCCATCAGAGTGGCAGCTAACTAGCTGCTGTCCAGGGTTCTGCTTCTACTATACAGTCTGGCCAGATAGGCAGTGTTGGACACAGTATTGGAATAAAACAGCTGTTAAAAATACACCTCTAACTTTGATTTGCCCGACTGATAATGCCCTGTGTAAAATTGAGAAAGGGAAAAAAACAGCTGTGAATCTATTTTGGGATACCCGTGTGTAGCCAGACATACAAAATGTTCTGTCAAAAGGCAGAGAAAAGACTGGGAACCCAGTATGGCCATGAAATGGGTTGTAACCTGAGATTGGCACCAAAACCATCTTCACAGATTATACATTATCTACATTAGACAACCCTAATTGATCATTGCACACTCCACCCAGCTCATAGGTTGGACAATACTGAAATTTACTAGATTGACTATAGAGCATACATATGAATCATTGAATTTAGACAGGCTAAATAACTGTGGTTTAACCAAGCTCACAATCTGCCCATGCTCTGGTGATGCCCAGATCCATCACCAATGATGATGCCTAATTCAATATAATTCAGCAAGATTTATGGAGCACCTACTATGTGCTGAGTATTAGGGAGACAACTGGGAAAATAGCCTATATCAACAAAGATCTGACATTCCACCAGGGGTGGGGAAGAGGGAACAACTTGTAAAAAGATGTAGCAGCATAATTTCAAAGGATAGGAGAGAATATTTACAAAGAGCAGCATCCAGAAAAAGGTAGCCCATGATCTGAACATGAAAGAAATCTGGGAATTCTGAGAGGTGGAGAAAAGGAGAAAGTTCATTGTAGGCTTGGTTGAAACCCTATGCAAAGGCACAGAGGGAAGATATACAAGAAGTTCTGCAAAAAAAAGGATACTATTTTCAATGGAATGTAGAGCAAATGGAGTAATGTAAAATAAGCCTAGAAAGGCAGGCTGGGGTCAAATTGTGAAGGGTTTCAAATAACAAGTGGAAGTTGGTGGTTTATACTAAAGACAATAGGGAGCCTTTGAAGGTTCAATCAGTTGGGGAGTAGCATGGACAAATATTTGCTTTAGAAAGATTATATTGGCAGCTGTGGAAAATATATTGGAAAAAGGAGAGAGACTGGAGACTAGGAATTTAAGTAGTATGCTAGTTCAATAATCTAGGTAAGAGGTGATCAGGGCCTGAACTACAGCAGAGTATGACTAGATTGTCAGATTACCCAATCGAAAAGCTTTGACAAATAATGATGTGTGTGTGTATGTTTTTAAATGGTTTTGTGCCTGCAGTAAGGAAGTGATTTCACTAGCCAATTGCAGTAGCTCTGACCCGAATTTGTTATTTTAGACATTTTACTATGGAAATTTAATAAATCAACATCGAATTGAACTCATGAATGTCAACTACTAATTACTATCATATCCCACCACAGTAAGTCATCAGCTCACCTATAATCTGTTGTAGCGGGATATTTTAGGGTCATCAGCTTGTGTACTTTATTTGATGGGCAACCTATTAAATGAGATGATAGTGTGGTGTGATGGAAACAGCCTCCAGAGAACTTAGGTTTGGAACACTTGCTTTGCCACTTGCTACCTGTGTGACTTTGGGGAAGTCATTTCCCCTCTATGGTCTCCAGTTTCTTTCTATATGGAATGAGGAAAGTTGGATTCAATGACTTCTAATCCCCTTTCCATTCTATAGACTAATATTTTATGATTCTATAATTCCCATAACTAAACCTGCCACAGTTAGACATAATTCACATTCAGTTATGGGGGGGGGGGGAGGATCCTAAACATTAAAATACCCTCAGCTTACCCTGGAAAGTTGCTCAAGAAAAAAACACTAAATGTCATTGAAGAACTCTGAATAATATCAATACATCTGGACAAAAGGTGGGCAAGTTATCCAGATATTCATTCTTTATTGTTTCAGGTCTCAAGAGCCTTTGAAAGACTTTGAAAAGGTCAGCCTTGTGGAGACCAAACACCCCAAAGATTGACTAAATTCCCAACTTTTTCAACTGGATTTGTATATGTATATGTGTGCCATGTCAACACACCCAGTGCCTCAAGGCAGAAGTTAGGTTACCATTAGTTGTTCATTTTGTACTGAAGACATTAATTGGACAACCTCCTTAGAATCAAATCCACTTGGATTTTGAATTTGTTAAAAGGAGGGCAACAATGGACATGTACATAACTTGTTTTTTGGCATTCATTTTTTTTTAATTGTAACTCATTAGATGCCATAACTTTTAAACTAGCTCCCAAGGGTGCAGCCTTGAATTTTCATCATTGTGTGTGTTTTTTTCTAGTATTCTTTCTAGATGACATTTA